ATCGAGTAAGTTATCGTATAAGGCTCCCGGCGTAAACTGCACGCGATGTCCCGGCGTTCGAGCGCGAAGCATAGCAGGCAAATAAATCCGATAGAGCCATCCGCAGTGAATCACGGCCGATACATCGAAGGAACGGGAAGCCCGGCGATTCCTCGCGGAACCCGCGACCGGCATAATGTCATTTCGCCCCCGTGATCGATGCGGGCTCGCGTTTTTCGGCGGCGGGACAGGTCGCCGCGATGATTCCGTGAGTGCACGCGCACGGAAAACCTGATTCCCCGGCAATTTGACTAAGTAACGAGGTTTCCGCCGCTCTGTCCGTCCAATTCGACGAATGGACGGGAACGACACCGTCAATTTACACATCGGCCGCGCCGCAATTCCGTAAACCCGCACCCCATGTCCCCCGTCTTCGCGTCGCTGAACCGACAAAAGAGGGGGCCAATTAGTTTCGGGTTACCGTCCGACACGTCCACGGAATTCGAGGGCGGCTCGCACCGCCGGCGAGCGTATTTTTCATCGTCGCGCCGGCCCGGTGACGTTCGAAAAATCCAATTCCGGCAGCACGTTTTGCCGTCGGAATGCCTCGCGAGCGTTGCCATTGTCAACGAATCCGCTGGGGAACGATGAATCCAATCGGTCGAACGCGTATCGACCGCGATTTCGAACGGTTTTTTCATCGGGAAAATATTTAGCGCGACATTGGCTCCAGTTGTCGCGAGAATTTTATCGCGACACGTCCCTTTTGTCGCATGAACACCGCAACTATCGGGTGACTCGAAATGACCTATTTCTGATTTCTCCGTTTTGAAATTATTTGAAAGGTAACAGACGTTTCTCGGATTCTCTGAGAAATTACTGGAGGACATTTAGAAATTCTCAAACTGTATTCTAAATCGATTGAAGTTTCAATCGATGTACTCTTAGAGGTTGTATAGAGAAATTGCATAAAGGCAATTTGACTGATCAGTAGTTTTAGTGTTACAACCTTCTCTACCGGGGTTCGTGACTTATTAGTGATAATGGGATTATGTTGCCGCGATTGCTTTCATCCGATTATGTTAATCGAGATTCTACAGTGTTTAATATTATCGGTGAAATTTTGAATAATCATTTACAAGATGATGTAACCATGGAGAATTCAGATTCATGAAGTATTCGTTTAAACGCGTCTTTCTTGAATACCGTCAATTGTAAAAGGTTAGCGTCGAGCGTGGCTTCTGAATATTCTTATCGAGAACGAGCGAAGATCGACAATTTCTCCTCTTCAAGCTGTTTCCGAGCTGTACTTCTGCAACGAAACGTTGAAGATGTTTTCGGAGTATTCAAAATGATTGGACAAGCTTCGCCGCCGCTCGAGTATTTTAAGAACAAACTGACAGACAGTGACGGGCGCGGTAAAAGCTTGCGGTGCGACATTTTCCAAGCTTTCAGCACATTACGGGGAATAAATTTCGCAAACGGCGTCCCACGAAGACGCATGTTTTCCGCGAATGGCTCGACCGACCTTCCGTTATCGTTCTAAAGGAACCCCTATCGATTTTGGCTCCAATTGGAACACATCTACCCGAACATTGTTTGCCCGAACAATCCTCGCGTCTGCCAAACTCGGTTTAACTTGCCGTTCCCCGGCTAATCGTACATCTCCATGGAGCAGCAGGAATTTTTGAGCAGTTCACTTGCGCTGACGTCAGAAATTATGCACTTCGATCTAATTCAGTGGCTGCGCGCTGCTGGGTAGTTGCCGGAGATACAATGTTATTTAGCCCGAAGGAATTTCCAATTCCCCATACACGCTTCATCCATCAAGTCCTAACGCGAGTCCTGCGATTAATTATGCGATCTTCCATTCTGGTGGAGCGATTAACAACGTTTCGGTTCCCTGGGAATCCGTGAAAATATCCTGAACGTTCGTGAGAACGTTCGAGCGAAGAAACGCGCATACAACAGCATTACAAACAGGTGTCATCCATCATACGGAATGGTTATCGCAACGAGCAGCATGGGAAAATTGTCACGTACCCGGCGATATTCTAAAAAATGACGATCATCATAGAATATAATAAATTTGATAACCGTTCGACAGGTCTGGCTGTCGAAAAAGTGAACTCGATGTCGCCGACCGAATAAATTTCAATGTAAAAGGGTCCATTCCGCTATCCATGGGCGGGTCTTAGATCCGCTTGATTCATTGCTGCAATATATCTGCCATTGTGGATTGCATTTAATATCCTTTCATCTATCGAATCACAGACTGGGTAATACTTTATATTATGACAGCGTACTATATATTTGAACTGCAGGAATTCGAAATTTAAGAATTCTTATAAAATACCATGTAAATCCGCGCGTCGTTAGAGGAATCTATTCCTTACAGTCAGTTCTTGCAATAATTAACTCGATAAGATGCTTTCGAGGGCTTTCAGCGCAGTCTCTAAGAAGAAATTAGGTAAAAGGAAAATCTCTTTCACCGTGGGACCGAGATTTCAGAGAATGAACTCAGCCGAGTCACCGGTTCCACCATGGTCTGACGCCGACACACGCGGCGCTTGTCCAGAAATATCCCAGTTTATGATGTTACGCAGCTAGTAAAGTGTTGACCGAGTAGCTAAAGTCTTCGAGACCTTCGCTGGCGCGGGCTGCCTGCAAATTCTTTTCCGTTGCGAAGCTTTCTTCGGGAGTAAACATTTCCTCCCTGAAAATTCGATTGGCTCGGTCGGCCTTTGCTAAAGCGAAAGAAACGGGGAATATAATTTTCATCGGTGCGCATTATATCTCGAACGTTTGCCCTGCTTTCCACGGGTCCTCGGGCGATAAAGAAATTTAATCAAGCCAACGTTGGCGGAGACTCCCGCATTCGCGTTACCGCGGGTCAGGGATATCGTCGCCGAAGCTGACCGGAGCCCGAAAGTCAAATAAAAGTCGCCGTTTCGACCGGCGAGCGAGATCACATTTATCGATAATATCTTGAATATTTCTTCCGACACCCGAACCTTCCGGAATTCTCGACTGGAGTCCCGTGCTTTCGCATGAAATCCCTGCGAACGGGGCACAAAGCGGAAACCGATCGATCAACCGCTCCAGGTTGTCGGCGGGACTCCGATCGCGTATACTTTATTTTTCACCGGGAAATTATAGGTTGTCAACGATGCACTTAATCCGTAATTTTCTGTAATCCGAGGTACGGGTACTTGCCCAGTCGACTCGTCCGCGGAGGGGTGGTTTTTTTAGAGCGATTCGTATACTCGGCAACAAGATACGCTGAATCCATCGAACGGAACTGTTCCTCGGAATTTCATTAGTTCCAACACCGATCACTCGTGAAATGGAAAATTCTTGCTGAAGATTTCATGTGATACGGCGGAATTGATTAGAAGACGTTTCACGCGTTTCCAATTGCGCGGGATCCTAATAGACAATGGGGGCGAACAGCGCACGAAGTCGTGTCCGGAATTCCTCTTCCTAGTCGGGGACAGATAATGCAGATCGTAATTCAATCTGGCTCGCCGCGAGAAAGTGGACAGAAAATGAATCCACGTTTAACCCCGGCGAGCGCCGAAGGTCGCGTAGGCAAAGTAATGTCCCACATAACCGCTTCGGATAGGAATTCCCCCGAGAATAGTTGCCCATCGCCGCGCACCAAGTGGAACGATAAATTCTCCGGAGTTATAATTCACGATTAAAGGCCGGATCGTGTACCCGGTCCGGTTTTATCAAATTATCAGGCCGATTATTAATTTCCCCGTGCCTCCCCGAGCAAAAAAGCAGATTTTCGGTCGCTCCGCGGCGAGCGTTCGCCGCGCGACGAACGGAACTTCTCGCGTTCCAGCAGTTTTTGGCGACGGGTCGCATTTGTACGATCCGCCGAAGAGTTTCGAACTGCGCTTCCTCGTGCTCTCGCGACGACAAGCACAATTTATGTGAGGTTTTTGAAAAATCTACGCCCCGAACGGCAGCTGCGGACGTTACTGGCGGAACCTATTGAAACGGTTCCCGTGTTCGGCTAAATGCGACAGGACCCGATGAAATCGATACAGTATTCAGTGGATTTTTAAGCGGACTTTCGGGTGCGGCATTGAACCGACTCGGCGCGAATGATAGAATTTGATTTAATAATATAGTCACCGATCTCTCGTACATAAAATATGATCAACGTATAGCGAGCACACGTGAAGTCTTATAAAAGATATAACAGGGATCTCATAATAGTATAAGAATCATGCTAGAATCGCCCAAATCCCATGGAACCTATGGAAGCCGGCATACCTTTGAAACCTCCGAGACCTCTTCAACTTTCCAATATCGTTAAAGCTCCTCTCGATCTCCCTCTGTGTCTGTGTAATGTCAGTAAGTCAGATCGGGGTGGAATCAGGTTTCAGGATCATTCACATAGATTCTATTGAACGGGGATTACCAAGGAATATCAAGGTATAAAGTCTTAGATCATTAGCGTGACGTCGGGCTCCGAGGAGGAAATACACGATCGCTTGAATCCCGAGTATTTAATATCGAGTCTGTTCGGTTTAACGCGGAAAATCTCAGGAAATTCACCTTTTATCGGCGTCGATGTGCTCGGCGCGAAACATTGTCGAATGAGTACAGTATTATCAATATCAGAGGCCCAGATATTTTGATAAGCTGGATCGTGTTATACGATTCCTCGGTAATTGTTATCCGATCCGACGCGCTTTGGATATTCATGATGGTATCGAATAACTCTCGGGATACCGGTATCGCATTCGCTAGTGTCGAAGTGTGTCTGATATTGATTATTCTTCGCACAATGTTGTGGCGTTAGTGCCGTTTGCGGGCGGAGGTCTCCTCGATATCCGGATAATAGAAGCAGCTTCGAAATTTCTATCGACGCCTATTCGAGTGTGCTCGACCACCGAAACGCTCAGCAGTAGCTTTCTTTCTATAGGCGCACGTACGAAATCAACCGCGAAAGAAATCATCTTCCACGACGAAGTACACAGCCCCGGTTTTCGTTTTTATTGCAGAACGGGGCAGTCGCCATTGCTCTGGAGAACGTTTTGCGTCAAGATGAGGATCTAATACAAACCACGGGACCGCTGTAAGTATTTTCCCGTGTACGCCCAACGGCACGCATTGTGCAATCGGGAGAAACGTCGCCTTTATCGCTATCATGCGAGTTATTAGCCTCCGCCTTTCTATTCCTCCATCGATCGCGGGTTGCTGGATAAATTCTTAATAGAGATATCAATTCCGGGGATAAATGTCACAGCGAGTTAGGTGACTATTGATCTCGGGCGTGGGGGTAATACCATTGTCGGGGGAATATCGTTGAGCGGATGGCTTGTTTTCTTGATTAAGCTTCATTGAAATCGAAAAGTTCGCTGAAAACAATTATCGAAACAATTTCACTTGCCGGTGACACGCGACGAAAGTTACAATCGAGACGACGCTAACGTTTTCACCGTGCGTTTCAGAGACAAGATCCTCCTCGACATCGATCCCGAGAAGAGGTTAAGCTTACTGAAGAAGATTTACGAGATACTAACTTATAACTTCGGTAAGACGCAGCTTTATCAAACATGTTTATATGTTACGTGCTTAGGAAACTTCTCACTGAGACTGATCCAGAAAAATGTGACAAGCAATACAAAACTTTAGCCGCGTTCCAATTTTCTGGTCGGTCTTTTACGAATGAAGTTTCCGTAATTAATACTTTATCCAGCGGAAATCTGTTACTTCATCTGCAATTGGGTTAAACGACTTTTTCCGAGTGAAACTGCTGAGAATCTATTAATACAATCGTTGCGAAACTGATTAGCCGCTATTCAAAGGTCGACGTTCAGTTTTTAGTAACGAAGGATCTCGGAAAGGCTTCTTTCGATCATTGAATAGAAGGAATCAGAAAAAATCCGTCGCAACGCGCGGAAGGGAGGATTTAAGAAAACAATTAACCGCGAAACTCTGAAACTGGGGGACGAAAGTTCCCGCAAAACTCTCGCCGACGCCTAACGCGACGAGATTAGTTCTTATTCTTCGTCCACGGCTGGCGGAAGAATATTTATTTACCATTGTTTGGAGCGTCGCGGCGGCAAATAAAGAGAACGCGATGATTATTGGCGTTCCGCCTATTCCCGAAGCCGTACCCGGCAAATCTTCTCTTGTCCGGAGTTGAAAAGTTATGCGATACTTCGCGGGCTTCGTGTTCCGCCTACGGAACAAGTAAGACGAGACAGTCACACTTCCAGATTTCGCTCGCTCCTCCTTCGCCCGCGCGACAGAAACCGCGAGAGAGCGCGGCAACTTTTCCATTTCGAAGAAGTAATCACTTTGCCGTGTGCGGCGCGGCTTATTTTTCGACTCGCCTCGCGATCTTCATCAAACTTTACTCGTCAGCGTGGTCTTCCGCGAGATCTTATCCGATACAACCCGGACTTTGCTTATCCTCGATTTAAATACAAGATATTTTTTAATCCGAAATCAAACTCGAGCGCGAAAGTTCGCGGGACGCAATGAGATCGATTTCCAATGAAACTTCTTTCGGCCGCCTTTAATCCGGCCACTCAGTTTTCGAAAGTGTGGTGATCAATCAGGCATCGTTTGCCTCGCTCGGCGATCAGCGGTGACATCAAAAGCCTCGGAAAAAGAACGTTTCATATGCATGGAGCTAATATATCCGACTTGGCTGATCTCCCTCGGGGATCAGAGGTGAACGCAGTCAAAGATCCGCGAACGGGAGGCCGTACGCGTTATCGTTCGACGCTGCGAACGGAATTGGTACGGGAAACAATTGACGCGTGCACCTTCAAAGAAAACAGTTTACGAGGAGGAGTTATGGGACGAGACGCGGCTCGTAAAATAAAATCGACGTTCCGCGGCGGCGAGGCTCGGCGATCACGACCGCCCAGACGGTTTCATTCTTTCGTAAAAGCGAATGGCAATTTGCGTACCGTTTACAGTGTATTTACAAGGCTCGAATCGAACGTGCCTAATTAAGTGCGCCAGCTATTCTCCCGCTTTCGTACCCTTCGCCCTTTTTCAATTCATCGGAGCATCCACTTTCGAGACGACTCCGACGTTTTTAATAGGAGAGGAGGAAAAATTGGAGCCCGATGAATGAAACGGCGACCGTATCTATTCATTCCCAGAATCCGGGGCTAATTTCGTTGAGCTTTTGTGCCCGGGCAAAGCCTTTCCTCTGAAGCGTCTTCGGCCGCGCCTCGCTCGCGCCTCTCCTCCTTCTGTTTTTTGTCCCTTTTTTCCTTCGCGCCGCCGTTGATAACGCGGGATTCGTTAATACGGACTTGACCGAGTTTTTAATTGAATGACCGCAGAATAGCGTGAAAACCAATCGATACGTAGCTTCGCGGATATAAAATATTCAGAGGCGTTTCCATCCCGGTAACAGGGGCGCAATTTATAATCCCCTTTTATCCGTTTCTCTCTCATTTTCGCTCGTCATCATCGGGAGATCGATGAGGCCCCGGCCAAAGGAACGAGCTTAGCGCCGCGGCTAACGACGACTAAATACGTCACGGTCCCCTTATCAAACTGCTCCTCGGAAAGGCGCTCGCGCGGACGCGGCAGCCGTGAAAGGAATATTAAAAATACTGATTTCACGGGCAATTACCCCGCGCAGCTGAAGAAAGGGCTCGCCCGTCCAGGGATGACAGTGTTCCCGTGAAAGTGTCGCCCGCCGCGGTTTATTAAGTTTTTTCCCGGATGAACTGGCTGTGTACACCGCCGCATAATATCGCGGGATACCTCATTAATCTCCCGGATGGTACGGACGGCGATTTGATGGGGCTGATACGACATGTATCCACGATATTCCAGGAATTTGGCAGTGGAGCACCTCGTGGATCACATCAAAGGCCGCCGAAATCTTCGGAATTTCGTGTTAATTTCTTATGCCGATCGATCGGAGTTGAATGCGCACCGGCGACAGTACAAGCGTCTCGATGACAATTGTCGGACGTTGATTAGATCTGACGTGATGAATCGTAGCGCGAGAGGAACAAAGGTTTGATAACCGGGAATAATTTGTCCTCGTCCGTTTCAAGTATCATATTCTTTTCTCGTTTATTCCACTTTCTTATCAATTTTCACGTCCCATTCCCGCGACAGTAACATATTCACCTACCAACTCACTTCTTTTATTACTGTGAATTATCATTCCTGTGAAATTAACGTAATTCCCAGCTCAATTAACAACGCGTAAGTTTCTCGAATCTCGTATCAACCCTTTGGACTCGAGAGTGTTTCATTCGAAATATTCAACGTTTATTCAAGCTTAATATTAAATGTTAAATATTCAATTTACTCGAGTTTAATATTGAATATCAAATATTAATCTTTATAGTATTATCGCGTCACGTTAAGTGACAGAGTCGCCTCTCGAAAGCAAAAATTTAACAATCCGATTACGGAAACATACTTTCGCAATTAATCACACCGGAAACAGCCAAGATTATTGTCAAAATAGCAGATGATCAAACATCTTCGAACGATAACACGCGCCTGTTGATACAGTAAACTTCGATGCAGCGCTAATGCATGCACTCAGCTCGAGGCGTCGGCAGTTTCAATATCGTTGTCTGTTCTCTCCGACTGAATTTCCGTAAAACGCAGTAAACCGAAGACCACGGAGCCCGTTCCATTCAGACCGATGATCCAGCTTGCCGTACGTTCGGCGTTAACGAGGATCGACCTCGCGGTGCGGCACCGAGGATCCGATGTAATCGGAATCGGCGTCGCCTGGGACGGCGAGAGTAGATTACGCGCGTTCGCAGTCGGCCGAAGTTGAATTGCACTCGGATTAATTTGTTATTCCCCAGTTGCAAAGTCGCGAAGTAGACGTCGTAACGTCGAACGATCGTGCTGGAACGCGGCACGCGCGACAAGGCTGCGGCGATGAAAAGGAGGAGGACACGGCCGATTTCCGTGCCGCGATGCTCGAACCGTACGCGCAGCGAGCAACGGCCCGTAATTACACGGACGGAATGTAAATTCGCGATAACACGAAAATACCGGGGCAACTATGCCAGCCACGCGCGACCTTATCTCGATGATGCAGCCCTAACGAGATCGACCGTGCAACAAACGATCCCGTAAGAAAGTTTCCGCGGCGCGGTAACGACACGTAATTCCGAGCGTTCAAGATTAATGAACTCGCGGGGCCGGGAGCGCGGTCCGAGAAAATTGCATTCGCGTTACACGATCGCCTACTAAACGACACCGCCGCTGATCATCGCTTTCAGAGGCAGCTCGTGAAGCGACCGCTCGAACCGTCATTTCGCCACCGGCGTTTAGGAATTAAGAACGAGAGTGAAAGGCGACCGGCTACTCGAAACTTCGCTTCCGTTTACACCGTCGAGGAGCAGAAACTTTGATTTAATTATTCCGCATAGGAAGTTGCGGGATCTTTTGATCACGCTGTCGTAAACTTTCCGCTCGATGACGGACTACTATCAACGTACAATCAATTTTGCCGCTGACATTGCTTCCAGGAAGCATTCCCGAAGTTGTACTTCTCGGCTCGCGCGCGACCCGTTCTCTCGAAATTTCTGCAAGTTCGTTAGCCGGCTAAGGTCCGGCGCCAGATTTCCGTGGCAGGTAGAGGACCGACAAAGCACAACACGCGGCAATGAAGGGAAGTCGATACTTGATCCGTTTCAACGGGGGTATCCTCTTAAGACCCGGCTATCGATTCGCTCTCGAAAGAAACCACGTCAAAGTGCTCCCCCTTTTTAATATTTTCCCTTGTCGCGACCCAACGTTTCGGACGTCTCGCAGGGCTGTTCGGCGTCCCGACACGTTTCGGTATTTCGCAGCCTCCCCCTCGATGTGTCGTTCCTGCTCCGCGGAAACAGCGCACGAATCGCGGGAGCCGGAATTCGACGAGTTCTGTTCCCTCGCAGAGAGAAGTAGGACGCTCACGCCCGTCCGACGAAGCTGAATATTTCATCGGCGATACATTGGAAGACAGTGCGGATAAGAGCGGAGAAGTAAATCAAATTCCGACGCGTTTTCCATTTCCCTTTGAAATGCCGCGGGTTAAGTGGAAACGCCGGGAACACCCGGATCACGACATAAATGTTTCAGAACGCGAGAATTACCGGGTAACTGAGGAATTTCGGTGAAAGTATAAATATGGAAATTGACGTACACGGGGAATTCGATATCGTCGAACTCGCCGAATTCCCGCGAACGACGTGTAACCGTTATCTTCGCGATCCGAGCATCGAATCTCGCAGTTTGAATAATGGAATCAGCCTAGTGGATCGTATAATGTATCCCCGACGTAAAATCGAGTAAAGGATTGCCCCCGAAACCGGCGAGCGTATTTCCGAATCTCTTTGGAAATTCCGAGATTTTTGAGAAGCCGTGTATCCGAAAGAAAGTTCGGCGTTGGTGAGATACACTTTTGCCAATACAGTCCGCAAAGTAGACTAACGACGTTTGAGCCATCACTTTGGGAGTATCTCAAGCATATTTTACCGGGAAGTGAAAGCGATACCGGCACGAAAGAAAATCCGCAAAATTCTGTCCTTCGACGGT